TCTGGAATGGAATATGTATGGGCAAAGAGAAAAAATACCTTTGAGTTTACAATTAAATATTTCAGTAGAAGAAAAAAAATAGAATATGGATGATGTAGGGGGGAAATTACTTTATATTCTTCATTTTTTAAAATAGTCTTAGTTATTAGAACATTTTTCCATTCACAGCAACATGCAGAAGGCACAGACCCATATACCCCCAGTAATCACATTATTTTTATAAATTAATTTAATGGGTATCAACATAAAAAGTCTGGTTTATTAATGAATATATAGTTTATCTGCATCATAATCCACCCTGTTTAGAGTCTAATTCTAGGAATTTTAACAGATGCATCCAGTTGTGTAACTACCACCACAGTCAAGTTTTAGAATAATTCTAAATTCTTGTGTCTCCAGGGATTCTTCCCCAAGTTAAATCTAGTATTTGGGCTAAGAAACATTTTTCATCATATTAAGGAAGTACATCCCTATTATTTCACGTGCTTTTTAAAAAATAGGAAATGAATGCTGTATTGTGTCAGATGCCTTTCCATTGTCTGTGGAAATGATGATTGTCCTTAAGAAAATTAATATGGGCTCTGCACTCGTAGCACAGTGGTTATGGCATCAGCCACATACACTGAGGGTGGTGGATTTGAACTCAGCCCAGGCCAGCTAAACAATGACAACTGCAACAGAAAATAGCCGGGCGTTGTGGCGGGCGCCTATAGTCCCAGCTACTTGGGAGGCTGAGGCAAGAGAATCGTTTAAGCCCAAGAGTTGGAGGTTGCTGTGAGCTGTGATGCCTCAGTACTCTACTGAAGGTGACAAAGTGAGATTCTGTCTCAAAAAAAATTTTTAATATGATGAATTATTTTAGTGTATTTCCTAGTATTGAATTTCCCTTGCATTCCTACAATAACACATACTTAATTATTATATGTTTTCTTTTCTTTCTTTTTTTTTTTTTTTTGAGACAGAGTCTCATGTCACCCTCAGTAGAGTGCTGTGGCATCATGGCTCACAGCAACCTCCAGCCCTGGTGTATGTGTCTGGTGCCCTAACCAGTGAGCTATGGGCGCTAAGCCCATATATTTTCTTTGGATGTGCTATAAGAGGTGATTCATGATATTGGTAAATAGTTTTCCTATATTAGCCTTTGATCCCATTTTTATACTCAAAATTAACTTGCAATTTGAGTTTGTTTCTTTTTTTAATGTTTTGAGCCACTTTATGATTTGGTTTATGTGCTTTCTAAAGTTTTTGTTAACCCATGTCTACTAAAAAATAGAAAAAACTATCTAGGAATTGTGGTAGGTGTCTGTAGTCCCATCTACTTGGGAGGCTGAAGCAAGAGAATTGTTTCAACACTCAGGAGTTTGGGGTTTCACTGATTTTTTTTTTTTTTTTAAACAGCCTAGGGGCTCGGCACCTGTGGCTCAAGCAGCTAAGGGGCCAACCATGTACACCTGAGCTGACGGGTTCGAATCCAGCCCAGGCCGCCAAACAACAATGACTTCTGCAACCAAAAAAAAGCTGGGCATTGTTGGAGGCAGGAGACTTGCCTGAGCCCAGGAGTTAGAGGTTGCTGTGAGCTGTGATGCCACAGCACTCTACCCAGGGCAACAGCTTGAGGCTCTGTCTCAAAAAAAAAAAAAACAACCAACAACCTAGGGCTTTTTATTTGTGCATTTCATTCTTTTTCTATTATCTAATTAATGGAATTCTGCTTTCATTTTAATCATTTCAGATTGAGGGGCAGCTGTGTTTGTTGACCTCTGTGGCTGGAGCATAACCCTGCCTGTTACTTTTAGCAGTGGTGCTTGTCAGCTGCGCCAACTTGAGAGCTGCTCTACCAAAATCCATGGGGTGCTGGCATTTGTTGGTCCCTGTGGCTTGAGCACAGCCTTGGAGATGCCTGCAGGCAAAGGTGTCAGGTGTCAGGTGCACCCTTGGCTCACCCAAATCCCTCCCTTCGTCTAATCTGGCATTTTTCCACACAAGATTCACAATATTGGGAATTTTTACCTATGTACATGAAAGCCTGAACTTAAGGAACCTCTGACTACTTCCCTTCCCCTCTAGAAAGGAGGTCTAACTGTAAGATTGTATTGTAGTTAAAACTCCATTTATGGGCCAAGATTCTCTATCCAACATTTGGTATTGGGGCCAGGCTGTGTTGCAAAGAATACTCATTTCTTTTCCTGAAGGCTGTTGAAGCCAAGGATCTTACAGTTTTTTAATAGACAAGGTAAATTCATGGGGATTGAGGCTTCTTGTCCCATGGCTTTCTATGGAACAAGGTAATCTATCTACCAGATTGGACATTTTCAGGTCTGTTTGGTTTGGTAAAGGTGCTCCTGTCTAACACCTGTCAAACTGGACCTCCCAGCTCTTTTGTATTGGCTCTAGCTGCTGGCCACAAGGCGTCCCTGTATAAGCAGCAGAAAAAGATTTCCCATAGAAGGTGCCATGGCATCTCATCTCACCCAGCCAAAGCTCTCAGACCTGCACTTTTCCTGCAGATCCCTTGGCAGACCCCAGAGGCTGGAGGCTTCCCTTATCAGGTACACAACCCTTTTCTCCCTTCAACTTTCCTGACTTGAAATTCACCTGTTCTGAGATGCCACTGTTTAGCCCTCACTTCTTCAAAATTCTGAGCCCAAATTGCTTTCCTGTCTGGTCTGGCCTTTACTAGCAACCATAATGCAAAGTCCATCCATTGGCTCAGCCCTCCTTCAGTCAACCGACACAATTAAAGAAGAGTTTTAGAGCTGCTCTTTTAGCTCCTATTGAATAGGGAGTGACAAAAACTGTAGAAGGACTTCAGCTGTACCAATGACAGAGATGACAGAAGAGTGCACCAGAAGTCAAACAAGAAAAGAGGACAGCTCCCAGAACCCTGTCTTGCTGAGAGCAGGTAGTAAACAAAAGAGACAGGGTCCCCTTGGTTTTCCTTACATTTCTTTCTTTTTTTTTCCTTTTTGGGAGACATAGTCTCACTTTGTCACCCTTGGTGCCCGGCTATTTTTAGAGATGAGGTCTCGCTCTGGCTCAGGCTGGCCTCCAAACTGTGAGTTCAGGCAATTTACCACCTGCCTTGGCCTCTCGTGTTGGGATTACAGGTGTGAGCCAGTCTTTTACATTTCAAAGCCTTCCATTATGTCTCTGGTTCATAGCCAAGAGAGAAGTTAGAAATTGTTTCTGCCCCTGGGGAAAGAAGCTAACATAGTAATAAAATGAGAAAATTGTTATCTCCAAATTGGGGAAAATATAAAGATGAACAAGAGTTTGCTTGACTAGAGGGTTGCTATGGTTTGAATGTTTGTCCACTCCAAAATTCATGTTGAAACTTAATCCCCAATAAGGCAGAATCGAGAGGTGGGACATCTAAGAGGTGATTGGATCATGAGGGCTCTGCTCTCATGAATGGGTTAATGCATTCATGGAGTAATGGGTTATCATGGATTGGGACTAGTGACTGTACAAGAAGCACAAGCTAACACAGAGGATTCCTCAAAGAAGGAGCAACCTGTGGAAAGCTCTAATGGGAACAGTTGTAGGGCATTTTATGAGCTGAAGGAGGCCAGTATACCATGAACAGAGAGAGATAAAGACACTTGTTGACAAGTAGAAGTCTTATTATTCAAGCTCAGGTATTTACATTTTATTCTGATGGGAAAGAGATGTCACTGACAGCATTTAAGTAGAGACTCAAACATTTATCAATATCAGAATAATTTCTTAGAGAATATAAATAAGAACAAAACAAAAACATACCCAGGACTTAGTCCTATAGATTGTTGTAGTCAGTTAAAAATATCTCTGTATAGTTTAAACAAATCTCCGTGTGATTCTTAGTCACACTCAAATCAGCGGTTCACTGGTCTGACTCCTTTCCTATCACCAACCCTGCCTCCACTCTTGGACTCCATCTATTCCCTGCATTTTTATCACCTTTTTCAAACTATGAGAGTACAGTATGTTTCATGATACAAATTAGCTTAATAGTAACAGGGAATAATAGCAGTAAAATGTAGAAAATGGTTAGTTCATTAGTAATTTTTCTAATGGAAAATTAGAACCAGAGGTTCATTTATAATATTCAGCAGCTAAGCCAAAAAGCTTCAACTTGATGCTTATTGTCATGAGCCCTTTTACCTCTATTTTAAGGAAATTAATAATAAATGGCTGCACCCAGGGTTCCTTCTCCAGAGCATTATACCGTCAACCTTGTGTGGCCCTCTAGCTAAAGACAGGCTGTACTTCACCCTATTCCCACTTTATTGGTATCCTCCCTGGCTCAGAGCTTTATTTTCATGTCTCAAGACTTGAAATCTGGCTCAGCGCCTATAGCTCAACCGACTAAGGCGCCAGCCACGTACACCTAAGGTGGCGGGTTCGAATTCCCAGCCCGGACCCGCCAA